GAGGGGAGGGCGCTGGAGGCGGAGGTCGGATGGCAGAGGTCAGAGGTGGCTGCACTCGCACTCGGCATCCGAACTCTCACACCTGCACCCGTCGCTGCCACAGCCGTTGCGCGTGGAGAAGGGACCTCACATCAATTGTTTTAAAGACCAAATCAATTGTTTAATAGTGTCAAATCAATTGTTTTTAAAAACGAAATCAATTGTTTAATAGTGTCAAATACTTGTCATGAATTACAAAATTTACCAACTTCTGGGGCATGTAGGAGGTCGAAGATGATAACTTTTTGCCAAATTGAACTTGGGATTGAAACTTCATGTAACGAAGTGTCCGTTAAACATCACTGCGTGATGGTTTGCCTATCAACCAGGGGCAACATGTTCAACTTCTCGACATGGCAGTCAGTTCATAATCACAATTTGATTATTATAGTCGACACGCCGTAGAAGTTCGTAACATTTCTTCTAAGACAATCTGTGCTGAAATTTGAGGTTGAAAGAAACTCTTCTTGAAGGTAGCCCTCGATGCCGAGTTAACATATAATAATTCGAACGGGTTGCGATTCCGAGAAAAGGGCGTAAAAATATCGCGCCGCCACCCCCACCGCCCATTAACACAACGCCGCGCTCTCTTCATGAGAGAGCGCTACATTTCACATCGCCAGCGGGCGCCGGCTCCCGCCACTGACCGCTCCGCCCGGCGGCCGAGATAATGATCCGCGCGCACGGAACGTTGAAAACGTTGCGAAAAACGCCAATGGAAGCAATTTTATTTCCAGCTGCACACCCGGTACGAGGTAAAAAAACAACTAGGTGAAGTGCAGGGCGCGGGATAAGTGGTCGTTAAGCGTTTTCAAAACCAAACTATGTTTGAGAGCCAAATAGTATGAGAGTAAGTCGTAGTAAATGTATGAGAGTAAGTCGTTGATGACGAAAGTTCTATGGTACGTGTCTCGAATGTGGGGGATTTTCGATACTAGATATAATGTTAGGTCTGATTTAGTCGGAGAATTCTAGAGGCCGGCTGCTCTGCTAGGTAGCTTTTCATGGTTGCTGGTATCAATAAGAGGACAATGCCGGAGCAGTACTCAAAAGAACGGACCGCGGTTCGCGCGCAATTTTGTTCCTTGCCCTATTCAAATCCTACTTACACTTGCATGCACTATACTTCAACATGTCTGGAGACCGGCTGGTTCGGGCCGGTTGTTCCGAACTAGTAAATTAAAGCGTAAAATAAAGAGGAAAAGAACGGTATGGAGAGAAGGAACTTGACTTAGACAAACATATCGAAAATAAATTTCTAATGACTAGTTCTAGGCATCCGGAATGAGAAAGTATTTGAAGGAAGAAATCTACGAACGCCAAGGAAAGTATGATTGATGTTTCTGAAGAGAGTATGCTGTAAACCTCATTGAAAGAAGGAATTGATTGTTTAGTGATTCGGAGCACGTCAACTACCAGGGTCATTAGTCCCGTAAGTGTAATACATGTTTTTGGTGGTGGTGATCTTTCCCCCACTGCGTGACGAGATTCGGCGCTGACATACCGTCGGCTCAAGGGGTTTCCCCAACGAGGTATCTCCCACCAGCCAGGAGCTCTTAGCTCCTTACATGTCTGAAAGTGTAGTGCATGTTCGTGTAAGTGTGTGTAAGGGGTGAGGATAGGACAAGTAGGAGGTAGGAAAGATCACGCGCGGTACGTGGCCCGTTTGTTAGGGTACTGCTCCGGCACTCGCCTGGTGTTGATCAGAAGAACCACGTAAAATTACACATCAGTGCAGCTGCCCGCAAGAATTCTTCTCCAGATAGTGACTGAATTCGACCTAGCTGACAAGCTAGTGTCGAAAATCCTGCCACTATCGTGTCTCCAACCTAGGACCTCCCGTTCAAAGAGACTGCAGTGGCATCAATTGATGCCCTGAGTCATCTCTGCCGCTTTGAGAGAAGGAAAAAAACACCCAATAAGAGATAACACAAAATATGTAAAGTGGGTTGGGTGGGGCCAGAGGTCGTTAACTGCTCTTTGTAACGAAACTAATTACGATAATAATACGAGTAGGCACATTCTGAAGAGACCGGGAATATTCTGTTGAACTCTGAACAGACGAATAATGATCACGAACAGCCATGATGTCTGGTGTGTGAACTGTTGCAATAGTCTCTACCAGTGCCAGAGAGTACACTTTAGGTACAGTTCGCGAGTAAAACATAGGGACTCATACGGAAACGCTTTTAAGATACGAGCATGAGAACATTTGGGGCTGATGTTTTAAACAGGTTAAATAAAGACAACAAGCTTGGAGCAAGTTATGTGTCATAAACTAAAATATTTGAGTATTATGCTTCATACAGCAGATGGCAGAATTCAAACGCTGAGCAATTGAGTTTAACTTCAAAATCACCCTACTTTCGATTATTTATTTAGAGTGATGTAATTATTATATTTCCTTGTATATTAACAACGTCATAATTTTTAATAGTATT